AGGAAGGAGTCTGGGGACCACAGCCAGCAGAACCTGGAGCTAGAGTGCATGTATCTGCTGTCCTCAGGCCTCTGAGGGGTCATCCTGGAACAGAGGGCAGAGCTGAACCCACCAGGGGTAGTTTCAGAGGAGCAGAATTTGGCTCAGGATACCAAAAACCTCAGGCTCCCCAGATGGTTCAGTGGTAAAGAATCCGCCTGCCAATGCAGAAGATGCAAGAGATGCGGGTTCGATCCCTGGATCAGGAAAATCCCCTGGAGGAGGAAATGGCGACCTGCTCCAGTAGCCTTGCCTGGGAAATCCCATGGACAGAGGAGCCTGGCAGGTTACCATCCATGGGGTCGCAAAAGAGTCGGACACGACTGAGCATGCATGCACCAAAAATCTTACATCACTTAAAGCTGTTTGGAAACGGAACCAGCCGCCCTAGGCTGGAACAGCAGCCTGTGAACTAGGAAGGCAGTGGCACTCACAGGGAGGTTACCAAGGCTTCTCCCAACTCAGGCTACCTCTTAGTAACGCAGCTGTTTTGTGCCCAAGAAAACGCCACCTGGCTCAGCTTGCTGCCCAAGGTCAGCTTGGCTCCTCCTTGCCTGCGTTCCTAGGGCAGAGACTCATAGGGCCGCTGTTGGTCTTTAGCTTACCAGTCAGGAGATACTGCTTCTGGCTGTTAGTTTCCAGTTTCACCCCACAGAGGGAGGAATCAAAAGGCGTATAAATATACTGAATATCGTTGACTTTCTCAAACCCTTTGAACATCTGAAAGGCAGTTATGAAAGAGCAGTATTGAGTCAGTGAGTGTACTTTATATCTTAACAGGAAAAAATTTTTCTTAATCTAAAGAAGTTAAGTGAAAGTCTAGTTCAAGACTCGTTGCACACGGATGGCACAACTGGGTCTTATCTCCCTAGAAATAATTAAACCTTGGTTTCTTCCAGTGAGAAGGGAGGTGCCTCTAGCAGCCCCATGCGCAAACACCGAGGGCCTCTCCTGAACTGTCCTCTGGCTCCGATGGCCTGTCCCCTACACGTCATCCACTCCAGTATCTGTACCCCTAGCATCACTGAGCCAGGCCGCCCGAACCACCAGCCCCCCAGCCCCAGCCCCCCCAGATCACAGCCCCCAACTCCTAACAGCCCAAGGGGGTGACGCCCTGTCCTGCCCCCATGTACCTTTATCTGTTTGATTTCATACCGGATCATTTTTTGAGGGTCAGCAGGGTCTGCACTGGCAGGAACTACCTTCTCGCTGGAGATCTTGGCCCGGATAGCTGCACAGGAAAAGAGGGGACCTTCAGCAGCCTGTGGGAGCGATCCTCCTGGGATCTGGGTGACCTGTGGCCCCCTGGAGAATTCTGCAGAGGGGTTCTGGGCTTAGGTCTCAGTGGGTTGCGAGGAAGATGCTGCATGTGAGGGATACTCGTCTCTAATTTCTGGAAGTTCCAAACTCCTCGGGCCTACCAAGTCCTTGAGTCTCTCCACTCTGCCTGCCGGTCTGGGGAGTCGAGTTCTCCGCAGCCCAGAGTACAGTGGGGTGGAGACGGGCAGGGCGGAGGAGCCACTTGAGGGCAGTCAGTGTGCAGTCATCCACCGCTGTAGCCCAGGACCTCAGAGGGAGCCCAGCCGAGCTGACGCTGGCAAATGTTTATTGAATTAATAGATATCCTCACCGTGCACAGAGGTAGTTCATCTCTTTGTCGTTCAGGTATTAATCAAAACCTGTTGTGAAGTTCTTCCTCCATGCCTGGTCTAACACTGGGTCCTAGGCCCACAGGCACGATTAAGGACAGGGCCCCCACCCTGCAGAACTCTTGGTCTAGTGGAGAACACTCTTACAGAGACCAACAGCACAGCACAGTAGGAGCACAGAGATGATGGGGATGCTGTGGTAGCACCAGGGGTCTGGAAGCCTTCTGAGAAGGGGAGACACCTGGTTCTGAAAGATGAATAGGAGTTTGCCAGGAAGCTAAGGGTTTTTGAGGAAGGGCATTCCAGGCAGAGAGAAAGGGTAAAGGGCGAGTGTTGGAGTGGGGCGGTGGTGACAACCTCAGTTATAGGCTTGGATACAGAGGGATGTTTGTCATGAAAGCCCAACCCCCTGAACCCCCTCCCTCCCAACCCCCCTAACCAGTGGATCAGAATAATCACTGGATAGTTCCAGAGACTTGTTCAGTGACATCCCATAACTGCAGTAGGCAGGGGAGAGGGGATTGCTGTGGAGCCCTTTACACTGTCTTTGTGCTCATTCTCTCAGTTGTAGTTGACTCTTTGCAACCCCATAGACTGTAGCCCGCCAGGCTCCTCCACGGGATTTCCTAGGCGAGAGTATCGGACTGGGTTGCCATGCCCTTCTCCAGGAGATCTTCCCGACCCAGGGATCGAACCCTTGTCTCTTGAGTCTCCAGCATTGGCAGGCGGGTTCTTTACTACTCCGCCTCCTGGGAAGTCCTACACTGTCTTTTATTCCCTGGCAAGTCAGCGGCAGGGTTGCTATGGCGCCGGCCCGGCCCAACCCACCGGCCGCAGCAGGAGGCAACTGGGGCGGGATTTGAGCTCCACCCCTTCCCCCCGAGACTCCAGGTCTGCTGTGCGGCCCCACCTCGACCCCACACACCCCCACCCACAGCTGGGGCCCTCGAGAGCTCCCCCGGACTCACCGAGTGCCGAGTGGCAGACGTGCTGCTGGGGGTGCGCGGGGGCGCAGCTACACGCCTCGCCCAGCCCCGGCGGCCGCAGCAGCGCCAGCAACCGCAGCAGCAGCGCCCAGCTCGGCGCGGGCCGGGGGCTCCGGGGCATGTCTCCGCAGGGCTGCGATTGAGCCTGCGGGGACTGTCAGACCACAGTGCCCCTCCACGGCTTCTCCAGAGCGCGGCGCGCCCCTCGCCCCCGGCTTTATGAGGTGGACCCAGAGCCAATCCCGCCCCGATGGGCTCCGCCCTCCCTTGGCCGCAGGCCACCCTGGGGCTGCCGACCCGCGGCCCTCCTGGCCGGCAGGCTTGGTAAGACGCAGCGGAAAGCCGCGAGAGTCCCCGGTGCTGTTTCCCGGCCTGAGCCTTCTCGAAGTAGAGGGAAGGCACCGGGAAAGGGGATGGCGTCAGGACAGAAGGACAGGGCAGCGGAGACAGATGCATGGGGGTGCAGAGCCCAAGGGGCTGTGACTCAGGCAGAAGGGACGAGCGTGCGGAGAGGCTCAAACAGAAAGAGAGGCACAGCAGAGTCAGAGAGGCAGACAGAATTACAACAGGCAAGAGAGACGGCGGCAGAGAAGGCCGGGCCTCTTGCTGAGCGGCACACTGGGAATGAGACAAGCTCCTCAGGGCTTCTTTCAGCTGCAGGAAGTGTTTTCAATGCCCTATTTATGAGGCTCCAAAGCAACAGCAAACAGTAATGGAACGGGACGGGGAAAGTTGGGGGAGGGTGTGTGTGTGTGTGTGTGTGTGTTGGCTCTGTTGGCTGGGGGGTGGGGAGAGACGGCGGAGAAAGCAGCCGGTGCCTTAGAAACCCTTTCCCGTTCCCGGAGCTCATGCAGATGGCGTGAGGACAGTGCTCTTTGAGGGGCTCAGAGCATGGGGTAGCCCATCACTGGGGCAAACCTGGGCCCTCAAAGCCCTTTCTCTGCTATTGGCCACCCTGATTTCCTGTCTCAGCGCCCTACTCAGCCAAGAGACTGCGTCTTGTTATAGAGGGTGGTGCAGCTTTGAAAACAAGTGAGGCACTCGGGGCGTGGACTGGAGCCCTGTGTGCTGTTTGACAGACAGCATAGTGCTCTGAGGCTGCGAGAAGAGAGAGACCCGCACGGTAGTTGTAGGATGTTTCCACACAGTCTTCCACCAGACAGTAGGAGGCTGGGTGCACGTTCTGTTCCTCAGGAGCTTCACAGCCTTGCCTCTCTGGGCCTCACTTACTTCTCCATAAAGTACGGTGAACTGAGCTTGAAGCTCCCTGCCCCAGCCTCAGCTGGCCTCAGCCAGGAGTGCTGAAATCCTCAGGTCAGGCACTCCCAGTATCTGGTCACACTCAGGATTGCCACGGGAATCTGACTTTTCATCAGAGTCAATAGTATATCCTCTGAAAGACAACTTTTCGTCTTGATGTGGTCATGATGTTTGAAAAGAACGCAGCTGAGAGAGAACTGAGCCTGACTAAGAAAGGATGAGGTTTGGCATCCAGGTTGGTTCTTCATGCAAACCCAGCCAGGATAAAGTCTGATGTGTGATTGGACAGGATCTTGAAAGCGTCCCGTTCGGCCTCTTCACTTGGCAGATGTGAACGCTGAGGCCCAAGGAGGCAAACGGACTTGCAGGGAGACTGGGATGCGGGTCTCCTGACGTCTGGTCCCCTCTACCATGTTACTTCTGCCATGGCCATTTTGTAACAGCTTGAAATCCTGCCTTTAGGGGGTGGCTTTTCTTCTTGTAAGTCTTTGTGGTTCCTTTAGTTAAAATATGACTATCTCAAGGTAGTGGTAAAGGACAGGGAAGCCTGGCGTGCCACCACCATGGGGTCGCAGAGCCAGACACGACTGAGTGACTGAACAAGGTAGCGTTTACCCTCTTAAGCATCTCTCTCGAATGGTAAATGTGCTGCATTCTTATGTTAGCTATCTTCCAACCCAAACTGGGCAGAAACCTGCTTTTGCACTCTGACCTGTGTTCAGTAGTGAGTTTGAGGTGTTGGTGAGCAAGGAAGAGAGTGTGAGAGGGGAGAGAAGCCAGGTTCAGTGCAGGAAAGCTATACCCATGAAGGTTGAAGCAATGAGTCTTAAAGATGCAGAGAGTACCAAACAGGAGAACAGGCTCCTTGTAGTTTTGCCACTAATATGCTGTGACCTTAGGCAAGTCACTGTCACTCTGTTTTTAAATTTTTTAATTTTGATGCAAATAGGTTGCACTGGTTCTTTAAAGAGTGCTTCCAAGGGTGTTCCCAAGAAAAATATTTGTAGGATTCTCCATAGAGACAGATACACTCTGACCAATTCATTCCTTTCTCCTCTGCTTTCAGCTGACTCTGCCCACGTTCCCTGTGGTGGTGAAGATCGGCCACGCTCACTCAGGCATGGGCAAGGTAAGGCCAGGGCCGCTGTGCTCTGGGGGTGAGGCCACAACAGGAGCTCTTCCAGAAGCCCGGTTGTGGACGCTTCTTCTGCCTCAGTTGCTGATGTATTCTCTCTGAGGCCAAGATGATATGTCCCCTCTGAAACCATGAGTGTTACCCAGACAGGCCTCTTGCAGCAAGCAGAGTGCAGGCCACCAGACTGTCCCTGTGCTCTTTGCAGCAGATGTGGCTCCCGAGCCCTGGGAAGGGAAGCTCAAGAGTGGGGACCTCCTAGGGAGATGTGGCACCCAGGTTTGCCTCTGGGTGTGAGCATTGTGATGAGCCTGGGGGCCCAGGGCTCTTGTGACTCTCAGTGTGTGTGTGTGTGTGTGTGTGCACGCGCGCGTGTGTATGTGCCGCACATGCATCTCCCTTTCTCCCTCTCTGCCTTTCTCCACCATTAGGTCAAAGTGGAAAACCACTACGACTTCCAGGACATTGCCAGCGTGGTGGCCCTCACCCAGACCTACGCCACCGCAGAGCCTTTCATTGATGCCAAGTATGACATCCGGGTCCAGAAGATAGGCACCAACTACAAGGCTTACATGTGAGTGGGGTGGGGCCCTCGGGTGGAGCCCCCCAGATGCCCGTCCCTGTCTCGTCAGCTCAGGGACAATGCTCAACCTCCAGGCAGCAGCCAGCTCAGTTTCGCCTCCCCTGGCCCCAAGAGGCAGACACAGGGAGGGCGCCATTCACATAAGGGAATCTGGGCCTGGCTTCCTTTCAAGGCAGAGGAGGGGTTCCCAAACTAAGATGAGACAGAAACTGAATATTTACTTTCATTAGCCTCTAAGTGAAACCCGACGCTCTCCTCAGTTGTGAGCAGACTGGAGTAGCCGCAATAGTAGACAGACGTGTGGTTTGTCACCAGCGGTGACCACAGAGGTTTTTGTATCACATATGCTTGTGACAGAGATCTCTAAATACCAATTAATTTTATCACTACTTATACTCATGATAGTTAGACTTGCTGCTACATTCGTATCTGTAAATACATTTGTTATTTACAAAAAAAGACATATATTTTTACACTAATCAGAGATTTATTGTTTTTGATAACTTTTTGGATAATTATTTTAAATAATTGAGTTCTTTTATTGTCCTGTGTATTTTATTTCACACCTATACATCTTCAGTATTTCATACATCGAAAGGAATCTGTAGGCTTCACGAGGTTGCCAGAGCACAGAAAAAGCTAAGAAACTGTAAATATGTAGCCGTGTAGACACTACAGAACGTGAAAAGCATAGTGGTTATGAGAATAGGTGACTTCCATGTAACTGGGTCCATTTGCCAAAATGAGAAGGGAAAGGCTTCCTGCAACAGAATTGAGAAAAAGAAAAGATTTCAAGACTACCTAATCTTCTGAAATATACATCCAAACACAAATGGCTTACAAGTCCAATTTTAGAAATAGTAACTTCACATTTTCCCTGATAGCTCAGTTGGTAAAGAACCCACCCTGCAATGCAGGAGACCTGGGTTCAATCCCTGGTTTGGGAACATCCCCTGGGGAAGGGAAAGGCTACCCACTGCAGTATTCTGGCCTGGAGAATTCCTTGGACTGTATAGACCATGGGGGTCACAAAGAGCCGGATAAAACTGAGCAACTTTCACTTTCACTTCAACTTCACACTTTAAAAAAGTTTTAAGGTAGTATTTTTCTTCACAAAGAACATCACAATCTATGAATGTGACCTTTGCCACTCTGGACTTGAACCCACATCAGGGTGGAGCAGCTTCCTCCCCCTCACCCACCTATTTTCCTTTTTTTTCCCTTTTGTTTCTTTTTAGGGTTTATACTCCCTGCCCCTCGAGTGAGATAGGAGCCCAGTCCCTGTGCGCCCTCTTGTAACCCCTCGCACACCTCCAGCTGAGCACTCTTCACGCATGGGCGTTTGTACTGCGCTCCTCTGAGCTCTCTGGGTGGTAATGACAGAGTAATTGCTGCAACCCTGCTTCCTTATGCAGCAGCAGACTTGTAGGAGGCGCCCAATAAGTGTGCAGAGAGGAGCCCTGTGGGGAACTGAGGCACAGAATCCTTTTTACCTTTATTGACCAGATTCCTACTTTCCAAGTTTATCATTTTTTATTTAAAGCTATCCTGCTTTAGGAAGGAATTTAGGGTTGCTTTAAAATTGCACACAACATAAGACTTCCCTGATGGCCTAGTGGTTAGGACTCTGCACTCTCACTGCTGAGGGCCCAGGTTCCGTCCCTGGTCGGAGAACTAAGATCCCAAGTGCTGTGCACAGCCAAGCAAATAAATAAATGAAATCAAGAAGTATGCACAATATAAGACAGGAAGATTCGGGTTCAATCCCTGGATCAGGAAGATCCGCTGGAGGAAGAAATGGCAACCCACTCCAGTATTCTTGCCTGGAAAATCCCATGGACAGAGGAGCCTGATGGGGTACAGTCCATGGAGTCACAAAGAGTCGGACACGACTTAGCACAATTTAAAAGACCGTTACAAAAACTAGCTAAAAGTAGTAGGAAAATCCATGATTTTGGCACTGATGAAAGCAGATTTTCTATCCTTTAATTTTAAAATCCCGTAAATAAAAAAACATCGATGATACTGGAGCAAGAGTGTCTTGATCCTTAAAAGGAGGCACCACATTTTTAAAGATTGGGGTTTCTGAAAACAACTTAAATGGAGCATAGGAAAAGAGAATCCCCAATGATTGATGAGGGGTAAGTGACCAGAGCAGCTTTAGAAAATACTCACTTAACTTTTTTACTTATGAGGGACTGTTGGTTGTTTGGGCGAATGTTTAGGTTCTCTCAGCTCCTCTTCCCCAAACTTTGGGCCATCTTCTTGCTCTCAGAAGAAGGAGCTGACACGACAGTAGCCAAGGTGAGGTTTGAGGTTCTTCCCGGCTCCCCAAGCCCTCACCTGGAAGCCGGGGGACGGCCAGGGTTACTGGGAAGGGTGCCCCGCCCCCGCTGCTGTCTGTCAGTCAGCAATAAGCGGGGTCCCTCTGTGGAGGTCGGATGGCCTGTGAGTCCTGAGTGGCCATCGGGCAGTCCTGGATGGCTTCTCGGGCTCCCCTCTGCTCCCGTGTGCCCCAGGTAGCCATCATGGGTCTGTGCCTGGCATCCCGTTGTTAGGGAAAGGTGTGAAGTATAAGGGGCTTTGCTATTACTCGCTCAGAAGTTTCTGACACCCTATTATGTACCATGGCCTTGTGCTGCGGACAAGGAAGTGAGGGACTTGGCCCAGCCTGGTCATAGGAGCACACCTATGAACCACCAGTGCTAGGAAGGCAGCATTATTTTTACTCTGATCTGTCTTTGTGTTTCTGTTCACATAGAGCAAGCCACTCAACTGTGAGTTGTTCATCTTTTCTGAACTAGGCAGTGGGGTGTAGGGGAAAGCGAAACCCAATGAGGGAACCAAGAGTCCTGGGCTTGTTGTTTAGTCACTAACTTGCATTCGACTCTGCGACTCCAGGAACTGCTGCACACCAGGCTTCCCTGTCCTTCACTATCTCCTGGAATTTGCTCAGACTTATGTCCATTGAGTTGTTGATGCCATCCAAGCATCTCATCCTCTGCTGCCCATTTCTCCTCTTGCCCTCAATCTTTCCCAGTATCAGGGTCTTTTCCAATGAGTTACCCCTTTGCATCAGGTGGTCAAAGGATTGGAGCTTCAGTTTCAGCACCAGTCCTTCCAGTGAATACTCAGGGTTGATTTCTTTTAGGATTGGCTGATTTGATCTCCTTGCAGTCCAAGGGACTCTCAAGAGCCTTCTCCAGCACCACAGTTGGAAAGCACGAATTCTTTGGCACTCAGCCTTCTTTATGGTCCAATTCTCACATCCATACATGACTCGATCCATACATACACGCCTTGATGTATAGACCTTTGTCAGCAAAGTAATGTCTCTGCTTTTTTGATATGCTGTCTAGGTTTATCATAGCTTTTCTTCCAAGGAGAAAGCATCTTTTAATTTCATGGCTGCAGTCACCATCCACAGTGATTTTGGAGCCCAAGAGAAGAAAATCTGTCACTGTTTCCACTTTTCCCCATCTATTTGCCATGAAGTGATGGAGCTGGATGCCATTGGAAAAACATTAGTTTTTCATTCAACATTAGTTTTTCCAATGTTGAATTTTAAGCCAGCTTTTTCACTCTCTTCTTTCATCCTCATCAAGAGGCTCTTTAGTTCCTCTTCATTTTCTGCCATTAGAGTGGTATCATCAGCATATCTGAGGTTGTTGATATTTCTCCCGGCAGTCTTGATTCCAGCTTGTGATTCATCCAGCCCAGTATTTCACATGATATACTCTGCATATAAATTAAATAAACAGGGTGACATACAGCCTTGACGTACTCCTTTCTCAATTTGGAACCAGTCTGTTGTTCCATGTCCAATTTTAACTGTTGCTTCTTGACCCGCATACAGGTTTCTCAGAAGACAGATAAGGTGGTCTGGTATTCCTGTCTCTTTAAGAATTTCCCACAGTTTGTTGTGATCCACGCAGTCAAAGGCTATGTAGAAGTAGATGTTTTTCTGGAATTCCCTTGCTTTTTCTATGATCCAACAGATGTTGGCAATTTGGTCTCTGGTTCCTCTGCCTTTTCTAAATCCAGCTTGTACATCTGAAAGTTCATGTTCTGCTGAAGCCTAGCTTGAAGAATTTTGAACATTACCTTGCTAGCATGTGAACCTAGTTTGACTAGATACAAAATCTTGGACGAGTCAGCGAACCTTTCTGAGTCTCAATCTCCTCGTCTGTAAAGCAGGGGCAAAAATTGCAGCCTACTCACACCAGAGAATTTTCAGTGAGGCTCTGGTGAGGGCTCTGGGATGGAGCAGCCTTGGAAGGGAATCGGCACTATACAGATGTGAGGCGTTGTCCCTGCCGTAAGGGTCGGCTCTCTGGGCTGGCGCAGGGCTCTGAAGAACCTGCCATGTGTCTAGGTTTCCCAGCATCTGGTATTGAATCTCCAGGGAGGATATGTATCTCCTGAGAACTGCTGAGCAGAGAATCACATCATCAGTCTCCAGGGATAGTGAGTGAGAAAGCCAGCATGTGGAAGCGAGTGACTGGGCTCTGTCAGTGGGTGAGCGTGGCTTTTCTGTCCCTGGGCCATCCCCTTCCTCTTGACTGTGTCTCAGTGAAGACTAATTTACAGTTTACTTAAAACCTGTATAATTTGGTCCTCATGACAACCCTGTGTTTACAGAAGGATAAGGAAGGCTCAGAGAGGTGAGGTGATTCACCCAAGGTTACCCAGCCAGTCAAGAGCAAATCCAGAACCAGAAACCAGGGCAATTGCCTCCTGCTTAGTCCAGGACTAATTGACTCTGTCTGGCATGTGGTCACAGACGGAGGATGCAGAGGGCACAAAAGAGGAGGGTAGGGGACTTGACTCCAGAGCTCCAAGTGAGGGATGAGGCAGCTTAAGCCTGAAGAAGTCGACCAGCCTGTCCAGAGCCACAGTGCTGATACTGTAGGCCGTCAGTGTTAACTGTTGAAAGAATAAGTGAGCGAGTAAGGAAGCCATGGGGAGATATTCGCTGGAGTCTTGAAGGCATTTCCAGGACCAGTAGAATTCAGCTTGTGCGTCCCAAGTCAGCCCAGACAGATGCCAAGTGGGCAGGCTGACGGGAATACGAGACACAGTATTTTTTTCCTGCATTGATCTGTATTTTATTCATTTATTTTTCATTTATTTTTATTAGTTGGAGGCTAATTACTTTACAATATTGTAGTGGTTTTTGCCATACATTGACATGAATCAGCCATGGATTTACATGGGTTCCCCATCCTGATCCCCCCTCCCGCCTCCCTCCCCACCCCATCCTCTGGGTCTTCCCAGTGCTCCAGCCCTGAGCACTTGTCTCATGCATCCAACCTGGGCTGGTGATCTGTTTCACACTTGATACTATACATGTTTCAATGCTATTCTCTCAGATCATCCCCCCCTCGCCTTCTCCCACAGAGTCCCAAAGTCTGCTCTATACATCTGTGTCTCACTAGACACAATTTGTTGTTGTTGTTTAGTTGCTCAGTTGTGTCTGACTCTTTGCAACCCCATGGCTTCCCTATCCTTCACTGTCTCCTGGAGTTTGCTCAAACTTGTCCATTGAGTCAGTGATGCCATCCAACCGTCTCATCCTCTGCCACCCTTTTGTCCTCCTGCCCTCAATCTTTCCCAGCACCAAGGTCTTTTCCAATGAGTCAACTGTTCTCATCAGGTGGCCAAAGTACAAGACACAATATATATCTTCAAGTGGTTAATAGATTTGTGGACAGAAGACTTAGCTCAGATAACTAAAGTAAAAAGTAGACACAGGATTTGAAGAGAGGTGGAGGCAAAATCCTCTAGGAATTGTAAGGAGAACAAGCGCTCATCAGGTTGAAAAGATCAGGGAAGACTCCAGGGCATCAGGGCAACCTGGGCCAGACTCTTGTAGAAAGGAGGAGAGCATTGCGGGTTGGGGGTTTAGCAGCAGAAGCCAGGCTCTCGGCTCAGCAGACAGGCCCCCAGGCTCTTGGTGGGAGAGGCAGGTGGGGACAGCGACCATGAGCCCTCAGCGCAGTGCCGTTCACTGACCCGTCTTGGCGGGGCCTTGTTGCAGGAGGACGTCGATCTCGGGGAACTGGAAGACAAACACTGGCTCCGCAATGCTAGAGCAGATCGCCATGTCAGACCGGTGAGCGAGGAGAGGGGTGCAGCTCCCCTGTCTGGTGAGGGCGGCTTCCGTAGAAGAGGAGGTGTAAGAAACAAGTCCTGCCCAAAGGGAGCCTCTAATCTGGCCAGACAGATGGAACACAAAGGCCCAAATACCCAGTTAAGAAGATCAGGCAGGACTGGAGATATGATGGAGAATGGTGGAGATAAAGACTGTACTTGGCATAGACGCTCCAGGGCAGGAGGAGTTACTGTGGGCTGAACAGCTGAGGGAGGCTGCCTAGAGTAGGTGAGACCTGCTCTAAGCTTGGGAAGGCAGAGAGGGTCTGGAGAGCAAAGCAAGAGGGCAGTGTGCTTGATTGATGGGAGGAGGGCTGGGGGGTGCAGCCAGGAGAGGTAGAGGCAGCCAGGATAGCATGACCACAAGCAGGCTAGGTGGGAACTAGTACCCCAGCCTCAGGACACTCCCCCACCCCACTCCAGGTACAAGCTGTGGGTGGACACCTGCTCTGAGATGTTCGGTGGCCTGGACATCTGTGCCGTCAAAGCTGTGCATGGCAAAGATGGGAAAGACTATATTTTTGAGGTAAGTCTGGCCCAAAGAGTATCTCAGTAAGAGACGAGCCCCAGGGCTGGAGGCCAAGCTCTTGGCTTGAGAGCTGCATGGGAGTGCGGACGGCAGTTAGGTTAGAGTCTCCTGAGCCATGGGAAGGTTCCCAGGTGACACAGCTGGGGAGTGTGCAGAGCCAAACAGCTGCCAGTGGAGCTGTGGTTTCTAACCAGCTGGGCTGACCCACACCACCGGTGAGAGATGCCAGACCCGGGTTCCGGGGTCCTAGCCGGCCACTCCTCCGGGAAGCCTTCAGTCGTTTTGCCATTCTTAGTCTCCGGAAGCTGGCCTTGGGAATCACTGGGTCCAGTCTGCTCTGCCAGTGCGAGAGTGGAGGCCTGATGCCACAAGCAAAGCCACACAGTGAGTTGGTGTCTCAGCTTGGCTAGAGCTCAGGTCTCCTGGACGCAGGAGATACTTCTTAGCCCTTCTCTGAACCCTGGAAACACTTGACTCCGTCTGGGCCTCTGGCACAACCTTGCTGACCCTTTTCCCACGTTAACGGGAAAGTCAGCGGCTGTAGGTGTCCTTCACACACGTTCCCGTCCAGTCTTCCCAGGAGCAGGAGAGGCTCCTTGCCAGGTGTCGGTGGCATTTGCAGAGGATTCATGTCTGGAGCCCAAAGTGGGCTTCAGAATCTACTCTGTGGCCTGCTCGGCATGTAACTTCTAGATGGTCATACCACCCTCCTCTTGGTGGGCCTTGGTTTTTGTTATCCCTGAATGAGAGAGTTGAACTATGGAGTCTGCGATCCTGGGCAGGCAGACACTTCCTAAAGGAGGAAAACATTGATCTGGACATTGAGGTACAGGAGGAATTGGCTCGGAGGTGAAAGTGAAGGCATCCCAGGTCATGAGCAAAGGCAGGAAGCCAGTCTTTTAGTGGGCAGAGTCTCAGTGGGGACAGAGGTTGTGTGGGAGAAGAGTCACAGAGGAGAGAACTGCCTTCTCCTCACCGGAGTTAAGGGCGTGGCCTTGCGTGTCCCTGCTCCCCTGCCTGCCAGCCTCAGAGCCCGGGGCTGGGCTACCTGCCTGCCCTCTCCCTCTGCCCACCACCCTCAGTCGCCAGACTGAAGTCCTGCTGAGCCCTGACCCGCATGCAGTCTGGGGAGGCCCAAGGCCCAGGCTGCAGGAGAAGGGAACGGAGGCATGCCAACTGAAGACACAAGCACCCACTTCACCCCAGCCTACCTCTGCTGGCTTAAGTCCTGCTCGTTCTGAAAGACGGTCCCAGGCCGTGGGTATCTCCTTTCCTAACCGGGTTCCCTTCCCCCACCAGGTCATGGACTGTAGTATGCCGCTGATTGGGGAGCACCAGGCGGAGGACAGACAGTTCATCACTGAGCTGGTCGTCAGCAAGATGAGCCAGCTGCTGTCGAGGACCCCTGTCCTCTCTCCTCAGAGACCCTTGACCACCCAGCAGCCACAGGTAAGCAGGAAGGAGACACAAGGGCAGCCACAGACCCTTGCCTAGCCCACTGCTACAGACAGCAGTGGCTCTCTGACGGAGCAGAGGTCAGATACCCACAGGCCTGGGTGGACTCTCTGGAGTCTTTTCCTTCTCCCTCTCTTTCCCTTCCCTCCCCTCTGAGATTATCTTCCATCACCCCTTATAGAAACCTCCTCATTAGCAATCTGCAGGATCAGCTGTATAACTGTCCAGAGATGGAGTATCAAATCCCTCCCCTCTGAACTTGAGGACTCCAGGGAACTAGACCCTGTTCCCCCTGGGACTTGTAACCTGGGAGGTCTCTGAGGAAGGGCTGGGTCAGGTCTCTCATTAGCTGTTCAGTGCCTGAGGGGTCTGTCACATTTGTAGAGAAAGAAGGGTGTTTCTGAGACACCTGCTGGTCTGGAGAGGGGGAGAGTCTGGTCCCTCATTCTGGGAGAGAGAGAGTGACAGGTAGAACTCAGATGAGAACTCTGCTTTCCTCCCTAGGAGAGATGAGGCAGCTTCCTAGTTGCCTGTGGTGTGTGACTCAGGTCAGTCACATCCACAATGACAGTACTCCAGCCACAGGTCTAGTGGGAGATCCACACTGAAGCTTTTGTGGAACCTCAGGCCCTGTGGCTCTAGAATGGGCCAAAGAAAGGCAGGGACCCTGGGCCTGAGGGCCTTTAGTCCATCTAGGATGTAGCTCATTTTTCAAAAATATTGCTAAACTCTTCCCTCCAATATGTAATAGAGTTGTAACAACTTGAAACAGCAAATCCAAGAACTGAGTCCTAGTCTAGCTCCAAATGGCTGTGTGACTTTGGGGGGAAGTTACCCTTTCTAGGGTTCAGGTTTTATTACTTGTAAATGAAAATCTCTCAGCGATCTTGCTTTCAAGATCCTACTTCAGACATTTAAGGAGGTGGAATCGAACTCAGAATGTGGGCTTTGATGCAAGAACTCTCCAAGTTTGATCGTTTACTGGCTTTGTGACCTTGAACAAGGACTGTATCTCTGACTCAGGAGAGATCTGAACAATAGCACCTGTGTTCTAGGATTGTTACAAGGATCAAATGAAGTAAAGAACATAAACTATGGCATAGCATTATCATAAATGCTCAATAAAGGCTACCTGTGTTATTACATAAGTAAGCAGCCTCTGGGTGTAGGTTCCCTCCAGTCTTTGGCTTTGAGATCGTCTCTCCCTTTTCTAAAGATCAGTGCTTTGCTGGGATTATGCTGCAATCAGGAACCAAGTAATTGGATTCTTGAAATCGTATGGTAGGAAAGAAGAAAAGGAGGGGTAAAAAAGTATAAACTTGTCTGGGTTATTTAGTATAGAAGCAAATTACCCCCACATTTATCTTCTCATCATTTGAACATCACAGAATCATAGCATAGAAACAAGTTTACAGTCATAACAATGGAGCTGAACCCTCAGGAAAGGATTGCATTTTAGTCAGTGTTTCATACTCTGGTTAAGAAGGCCAGAAATATGATGCATAAGAAGTGTTTCTGTAGAAAATGACTAAAATAAAACAACATGGCAAGCGGTAAGTCAGTACCCTCTCTCAATCTGTCTCCTCCGCCCTTTCTCCACCCCCCTTTAATACAAGATGATATCTAAATACCTTTTGAACTTTAAAGATCTCTCTGAGTAGAATCTCCTTCCATCTTGACTGATGCTGGATAGATGAGAGCTCATGGGCTAACTTATGTCTGTGCTGTCTTTGTGCCAAGTTGAGAGTAGCCCCATGAGGTGGGATGTTGCCATAGATTAACTCTCGTGTGTGTTACACACCTTCTGTAGGGCTTCGCTGCTGGCTCAGATGGTAAAGAACCTGCCTGCAGTGGAGGAGATCAGGGTTCAGTCCCTGGGTCAGGAAGATCCCGTGGAGAAGGGAATGGCTACCCGCTCCAGTATTCTTGCCTGGAGAATCCCATGGACAGAGGAGCCTGGCGGTCATCCATCTACATGGATGGCAGAGTCAGAGAGAGTGAGCCACTAACACTTTCACTTCTTAGATGGCTCACGCTGTGGGGGCCTCTAAACAAGTGCAAAAATCTGTTCCTGTGCTTTAGGAGTATAGTCACCAGATAATTATATAGGATAATGAGGGTAACATACCTTAGTTGCTTAGAAATGCAAGCCCATTATTTAAATATTGTGCTTAACTAGAGGTGATAGAAAGATTTTCCTGGTTGAAATAATATCAGGCCTGCAGTAGATTTTATGATTTAGTAAATCTGATGGCATCAAGGTGTCTTCTGGTCCTAGCTGTCTCAGTGGTGGGATTGGCAGATGGTTGCTCATTCCTGCTCTATAGGAAGAGTGACAAGAGTCCGCTTTCCCCCAACCCCCTGAGAAATAGAGAGTATCTGGGAGCTGCTTAAAGAATTTATGACAGAGTAAGATAGCCAATGTTGCCCAGGCAATATAAACAAAAATGGGCTGCTCTGGGACCCTGTGAGGGTCCCTTCAGGACTTTTATAAATGTGTGCGCACTCTCTTGGCTGCTACAGGAAAATCATTCTGACTAGACTGAAGGCTATACCGAGGGTCAGGAGACCTGAGTTCAGCCTGTCCTTGCCACTGACTCATGAGGTCGCCTTGGGTAGACTCCCTTTTCTTTCTCCGCCTCAGCATCTCTGTGTGTAAAAGGAAGGGTTGAACCAAGAAATTCACGAAGATCTTTTCTAGCACTAAATTTTAATCATTTGAAAATTATAAAATTTCAGTAACAAAGAAAGATTTTCCCCCTAAAAAAGTGTTTTCACCCAATGAAAGCATTGGTTCTTCTTTCATGTGATTCCCTTGCTTTGTGAACATTAAATACTTCAACTTAAATATTTTAAAGAGAAAGCCCTCAGAGTCAAGGCAGGAAACCTGGTAAGGAGTGAGCTTCCCTAAACACAGGGATGCCTGTAAAAATTCCTTGCAGCAAAGCCCTTGTGGCTTCAGGGTAAGTTTTTCCCCACTGAGCTTCACAGTTGAAGTTACAACAGGATATTGCAGAATGCACAGTGTGCTGGGAGTCAAGACAGTCAGGGGCCAGTCCCCCTGCGCCGGGATGTTACATGTCTGTGGGCGAATCCCTTCCTCCCTCTGGACCTGCTTCCTCACCTGTAAAATGGAACTGGGAGAGAAGATCTTTAGATCCCTTTCTTTAGATTTCCTTTCTGAGGTCACATGAAACCTGAGGTCAGCCCAACTGCGAAATCTTCAGGCAAGTCCTCCACAGACCACCCTTACTCCTGCCACGAGCAGAAAGTTCAGACACTTCCCCGGAGCACCCTCAGGTTCGAGGATTCTCTGGAAGTACTCGCAGAACTTCCTGAAAGCCGCTGTACTCCCAGGTGCATTATGGGAAAGGACACAGATCCAAAAATAAGGGCCCAAGAAGGCTGCACAGGGCAGAGCTTAGGAGTGCTCCAAACCCAGAGCTTCTTTTGTCCTTGGGGTGTGTCAGTCTGGCCTCTGTCGCTGATGCGGCACGGGGAGTGTTGCCAGCCGGGGAAGCTCACCTGAATTCCAGTGCTCAGGGGTCTTGTTTGGGGTTTCACTTCATAAGCGTGCTGGGTTGATCATCTCCTTGAACTCTGGCATCCCCAACTTTCCCCTCCCTGGAGGTCAGTCTAAGACCACAGGGCCTGGGGGGCCCACCCTGAGTCACCTCATCATCACGCACCATCAGGGGTGGTCTGAGGGGGCCCCACCTCGAATAACAAAGACACTCCTGTCACTCAGGAAATTCCACAGAGCGCAGAGGCTACTTCCCAACGCAGCGAGGGGGATTGGGAATAAGGGCCAGATCTTTCTTTGGGCAAGGCCAAATTCTTTACCGCATACATAATTAAATTAATTTAGCAAATGTCTCTCAAATACTTTCAAGCCTTATTTGTCCGTGTTTTCTCTGACCAGCACAGGCCTAGCCCAAACTACGTGCTTAAAATTAGTTAATAGACTTGGGGTGACAGGGATAAATGCAACATCTTCGTACCATCCTAGCTCATGCCCACCACCCCCTTACCACACTGGTACAGGCCTTTGTGTTACTGCGTCCTCTCTCTGACAAATTCTTTCTGTATTTTTGCGTGACTGGCTCCTTTGTGATCATATAACTGATTCTTCGTCAACTGCTGTGTCTCAGGTCTGGCAGAGGCATCCTGGCTACACTAAAGGAGTGGTGTAGGCGTGGTCTGCCCAGTACAGTCAGTCTGTACAAAAACCAAATCTGTCTACTTTTTTATTATCACTATGTGGTAGCTATTCTATATAAATGACAGTGATAAACCACTCCCACTTACTTCTCCCTTGATCTGCTAGTGCAATACATATTTGTTGGACGAATTCCCGGTTGTAATAAGTGTCTTTAACAGCCCTAACAGCGCACTGGACTTGGGGTGGAGATCTGAATGAATTTGGTTGAGTCCAAATGGAAGAGATGCAAATCAAACCGAGTTTACCTGGGCCTCAGCCAGGGCTTTGAATGGCAGTCTGAGCCCATGGGTGCTGCCACTAAGTCTGGTCCGCTGCTCACCATCAGGCTCCCCAGTCCTGGCCTCATTCTTCTGTGGCTCTGGCAGCTCAGGCTGCGGGAGACTCTGGCCTGTGTCACAAGCCCCAGATGCTGTGTCTTGCCCGTATTCTAGGTCAGGACCAGGACAGACTTCAGTTCAGTTCACTTGCTCAGTCGGGTCTGACTCTTCTGACCCCATGGACTGCAGCACACCAGGCTTCCTTGTCCATCACCAACTCCCGGAGCTTGCTCAAATTCATCTCCATCAAGTCAGTGATGCCATCCAACCATTTCATCCTCTGTCATCCTCTTACTTATGACTAGCCGTTGCCGACCTTTCTCTCTTTCTCCCTCTCTCTCCTTGCCTACAGCTCCCTCATTAGAGCTTTGCTTTGTTTCTGTGACTCTAAAAGAAAGCCTGAAGGAGGTTAGGGGTGGGGGAGGTGAGCAGAGGGCCTCCCTTACCTTGTCAGC